AAAGTATAAAAAAGTACATTTGTGTTTTATTGCCTTGATAAATTGTCGTGAAAATTATTAATAGTTTGTGGTGTAATATGGGTCAATTTTTAGGTCGTATTTGGCATTCTCAAACTACTGTAAACTTTTGGTAATTTGTGGGTAAAATCCGTCTAGGAAATTATAGAAAAGTTTGTTTGGTATTTTGGGTGTGTAAATTAATCGGGAAATAAGTACGAATATCGGGAAATAAGTCAATGTAATCGGGAAAAAGTGAGTAATCTGGTAATCAGTAAGTAATCGGGAAATATGAACATAATTGGTAAATAAGTAAATTTAATCAGTAATATGAACGTATGAAATAAGTGAAGTATGGGAAATAAGCGAGAGTAATCGGGAAATAAATACCACAATCGGGTAATAAGTAAACGTAATCGGGAAAGGAATAATGCAACCTGGAAATAATTAACCACACGATTTATCTGTTAACAATTATTCACACAACTCATGTATTTACTGGGTATTAGTGTCTCAACTAATTCATTGTGTACTCAACTAATTCATTCTGTACTCAACTAACTATTTCTGTACTCAACTAATTCATTGTGTACTCAAGTAATTCATTGTGTACTCAACTAATTCATTGTGTACTCAACTAATTCATTCTGTACTCAACTAACTATTTCTGTACTCAACTAATTCATTCTGTACTCAACTAACTTTTTCTGTACTCAACTAACTATTTCTGCACTCAACTAACTATTTCTTGTACTCAACTAATTCATTCTGTAATTAACTAATCTATTTCTGTACTCAACTAATTCATTATGTGCTCAACTAACCTCAGGTACTCAACTAATTCATTCTGTACTCAACTAATTCATTGTGTACTCAACTCATTCTGTATTCAAGAGAGTAGTGTAAGTATGCAAATTAGACAGACTATCCCCCCCATATAAACAGGTGTGCTGGTACAGTGTTATACAGAAATTCTATAGGTTGGGTGAGGTTGGGCTGGGTGGGTTGGTGGGGTGAGGTTGGGTGGGTTGGTTGGGCTGGGGTGAGGTTGGGTTGGGGTGAGGTTGGGTGGGGTGGGGGGTGAGGTGAGGTTGAGGTGAGGTTGGTGGCTGGGGTGGGGTGAGGTGGGGTGGGTGAGGTGGGGTGGGTTGGGGGTGTGGGGTGAGGTTGGGTTGGGGGTGAGGTTGGGTTGAGGTGAGTTGGGTTGGCTGAGGTGAGTTGGGGTGAGGTTGGGGTGAGGTTGGGTTTGGGGTTGGGGTGGGTTGAGGTTGGGGGGTGGGTGGGTTGGGGTGAGGTTGTGGGGTGAGGTTGGGTTGGGGTGAGGTTGGTTGGGGTGAGGTTGGGTTGGGGTGAGGTTGGGTTGGGGTGGGTTGTTGCGGTGGGTTGGGGTGAGGTTGGGTGGGTGAGGTTGGGTTGGGCTGGGGTGAGTTGGGTTGGGAGGTGAGGGTTGGGGTGGAGGTGGGGTGAGGTTGGGTTGGGTTGTGGTTGAGGTTGTTGGGGTGGGGTGGGTTGGGGTGGAGGCTGGTGAGGTTGGGGTGAGGTTGGGTTGGGGTGAGGTTGGGTTGGGGTGAGGTTGGGTTGGGGTGAGGTTGAGTGGTGGGGTGGGTTGGAGGGAGGCTGGGGTGAGGTTGGGTTGTGAGGTTGGGGTGAGGGTGGGTTGGGGGTGGGTAAACATTGTATAGTAAGAAGGGCTGTCAGGTCTACCCAGGGTGAGTATTTGATGGTGGTGCAACACTGTGAGACTGGGGGCTGTTGTCTCTCTCTCTCTCCTTCTTATAATCTCTCCTTTTTCTGTATTTTTTTTATCTTTCTCTCTTTCATGATCTATTTCTCCTTCAATCTCTTTCATGATCTATTTCCCTTCGATCTCTTCATGATCTATTTCTCCAATCTTTCATGATCTATTTCCTTCAATCTCTTTCATGATCTATTTCCTTCAATCTTCTTCATGATCTATTCTTCAATCTCTCTTCTATGATCTATTTTCCCTTCAATCTCTAACTACATATCGACATAACAGTTGTTTACACGTGTTCATGATATAATTGTTTACAAATTTGTCATAGAATAATTGTTTACCTATAATATCTATGTTATATTGATAGTGGAATTGTTTACTTATCTTGTTTACCTCTCACTTCACCTATAACACCCATGTCATTTTGTTAGTGGAATTGTTTACCTATCTTGTTTGACCTCAACTAGTATAATTAGCTTACCTATAACACCTGGTCAATGATAGTAGAATTATTTACCTATCTTGTTTGACTCTCAACTAGTATAATTGTTTACCTATAACACCTATGTCATTGATAGTAGAACTGTTTACCTATCTTGTTTGCCTCAGTAGTATAATTGTTTACTTGTTAATCTTATCAGTCATGGCTGTACCATTGTGTTATTCACCTGAGCATTATACACCCTAACCTAACCTAACCTAATCTAAATCTATCTAATACCTTACCTAACCTTACCTTACCTTGCCTGACCTTGCCTGACCTTGCCTTACCTTGCCTTACCCTGACCTCCTAACCTAACCTTAACCTAACCTTACCTACCTTACCTTACCTAACCTAACCTAACTTACCTACCTGACCTACCTGACCTTTGCTTAACTTGCCTTACCTGACCTGACTCATTTACCTGACCTAACCTTACCTGACCTAACCTTACCTTACTCACCTTACCTGACCTAACTCAACCTTGCCTAACCTAACCTTACTTCCTGACCTACCTGACCTTGCCTAACCTGGACTCCTGACCTTGCCTAACCTTGCCTTTACCTGGACCTTACCTTACCTAACCTAACCTACCTGACCTTTCCTGACCTTACCTGACCTTGCCTTACCTTTGCCTACCTAACCTAACCTTACCTTACCTAACCTAACCTTACCTTACCTGACCTTACCTGACCTTGCCTAACCTGACCTTACCTGACCTAACCTTACCCTTCCTTACCTTACCTGACCTGACCTTGACCTAACCTAACCTAACCTAACCTAACCTAACCTAACCCCGAGTGGTGTTTAATCATCAGGTAAAATAAACTGGGCTTTTTACCTATTCGCCATGACATCAATTACTTTCTTCCCAAATTACTTTCTTCCCAAATTAATGTTGAGATGTTCGGTGTTTTTTCCATTAGGTCTTTATCATAGAGTGAGGAATGCTGGGAAAGGTAATGTTGTATGTTTTGAATGTGTATGAATGTTGATAGTGTAATAATACTCTAACATTACTCCCTGTGTATTTTGAATATAAGTTGATAGTGTAATATACTTATATTCCTTGTTTTGAATGTGAATGTTGATAGTGTAATAATACTCTAACATTACTCCTGTGTATGTTTTGAATGTGTATGAATGTTGATAGTGTAATAATACTCTTAACATTACCCTGTATGTTTTGAATGTGTATGAATGTTGATAGTGTAATAATCTAACATTACTCCCTGTATGTTTTGAATGTGTATGAATGTTGATAGTGTAATAATACTCTAACATTACTCCCTGTGTATGTTTTGAATGTGTATGAATGTTGATAGTGTAATAATACTTAACATTACTCTGTGTATGTTTTGAATGTATGAATGTTGATAGTGTAATAATACTCTAACATTACTCCCTGTGTATGTTTTGAATGAATGTTGATAGTAATAATACTTAACATTACCCTGTGTATGTTTTGATGTGTATAATGTTGATAGTGTAATAAATTAATTATTGATTTGAATGTATAGTTAATATACATTCCCTGTGTATGTTTTGAATGTATGAATGTTGATAGTTTGTTGTGTGTTTAATATCTAACATTACTCCTGTGTATGTTTTGAATGTGTATGAATGTTGATAGTGTAAAACTCAACATTACCTGTATGTTTTATGGTATGAATGTTGATAGTGTAATAATACTCTACATTACTCCTTGTTATGAATGTTGATAGTGTAATAATACTCTAACATTACCCCTGTGTATGTTTTGAATGTGTATGAATGTTGATAGTGTAATAATACCTAACATTACTCCCTGTGTATGTTTTGAATGTGTATGAATGTTGATAGTGTAATACCTAACATTACCCTGTGTATGTTTTGAATGTGTATGAATGTTGATAGTGTAATAATACTCAACATATTCTGTGTATGTTTTGAATGTGTATGAATGTTGATAGTGTAATAATACTCTAACATTACTCCTGTGTATGTTTTGAATGTGTATGAATGTTGATAGTGTAATAATACTCTAACATATTCCTGTGTATGTTTTGAATGTGTATGAATGTTGATAGTGTAATAATACTCAACATTACCCTGTGTATGTTTTGAATGTAGAATGTTGATAGTAATATCTAACATTACTCCCGTTTTTTGAATGTGTATGAATGTTGATGTAATAATACTCTAACATTACCCTGTGTATGTTTTGAATGTGAATGTTGATAGTTAATATACATTACTCGTGTTGTTTTGAATGTGTATGAATGTTGATAGTGTAATAATATTAATTACCTGTGTATGTTTTGAATGTGTGAATGATAGTGTAATAATACTCTAACATTACTCCCGTATGTTTTGAATGTATGAATGTTGATAGTAATAATACTCTAACATTACTCCCTGTGTATGTTTTGAATGTGTATGAATGTTGATAGTGTAATAATACTCTAACATTACTCCCTGTGTATGTTTTGAATGTGTATGAATGTTGATAGTGTAATAATACTTAACATTCCCTGTATGTTGAATGTATGAATGTTGTTATAAATTCTTGTTTGTTTTGAATGTATGAATGTTGATAGTGTAATAATACTTAAATTACTCCCGTATGTTTTGAATGTGTATGAATGTTGATAGTGTAATAATACTTTAACATTACTCGTGTATGTTTTGAATGTGTATGAATGTTGATAGTGTAATAATACTCTAACATTACTCCTGTGTATGTTTTGAATGTATGAATGTTGATAGTGTAATAATACTCTAACACTCCCTGTGTATGTTTTGAATGTGTATGAATGTTGATAGTATAATACTTAACATTACTCCCTGTATGTTTTGAATGTGTATGAATGTTGATAGTAATAATATCAACATTACTCCTGTGTATGTTTTGAATGTGTATGAATGTTGATAGTAATAATACTTTAACATTATCTTGTATGTTTTGAATGTGTATGAATGTTGATAGGTAATAATACTCTAAATTATTCCCGTGTATGTTTTGAATGTATGAATGTTGATAGTGTAATAATACTCTAACATTACTCCCTGTGTATGTTTTGAATGTGAATGTTGATAGTGTAATAATACTCTAACATTACTCCCGTGTATGTTTTGAATGTATGAATGTTGATAGTGTAATAATACTCTAACATTACCCTGTGTATGTTTTGAATGTGTATGAATGTTGATAGTGTAATAATACCTAACATTACTCCCTGTGTATGTTTTGAATGTGTATGAATGTTGATAGTGTAATAATACTCTAACATTATCATGTTTTGTATGAATGTTGATATGTAATATCTAACATTCCCTGTGTATGTTTTGAATGTGTATGAATGTTGATAGTGTAATAATACTCTAACATTACTCCTGTGTATGTTTTGAATGTGTATGAATGTTGATAGTGTAATACTCTAACATTACTCCCGTGTATGTTTTGAATGTGTATGAATGTTGATAGTGTAATACTCTAACATTACTCCTGTGTATGTTTTGAATGTGTATGAATGTTGATAGTGTAATAATACTCTAACATTACTCCCTGTGTATGTTTTGAATGTGTATGAATGTTGATAGTGTAATAATACTCTAAATTCTCCTGTATGTTTGAATGTATGAATGGATGATATAATACCCTGTATGTTTTGAATGTATGAATGTTGTAGTGTTACTAAACTTGTATGTTTTGAATGTGTATGAATGTTGATAGTGTAATAATACTCTAACATTACTCTGTGTATGTTTTGAATGTGTATGAATGTTGATAGTGTAATAATACTTCTAACATTACTCCCTGTGTATGTTTTGAATGTGTATGAATGTTGATAGTGTAATACTCTAACATTACTCCGTGTATGTTTTGAATGTGTATGAATGTTGATAGTGTAATAATACTCAACATTACTCCTGTATGTTTTGAATGTGTATGAATGTTGATAGTGTAATAATACTTCAACATTACCCCTGTGTTTTGAATGTGTATGAATGTTGATAGTGTAATAATCTCTAACATTCCTGTGTATGTTTTGAATGTGTATGAATGTTGATAGTGTAATAATACTCTAACATTACTCCCTGTGTATGTTTTGAATGTGTATGAATGTTGATAGTGTAATAATACTTTTAACATTACCCCTGTGTATGTTTTGAATGTGTATGAATGTTGATAGTAATAATACTCTAACATTACCTTTGTATGTTTTGAATGTGTATGAATGTTGATAGTGTGTTGTTTTTGTGTTGGATAGTTTTAAGAGTCACATTTTGGTCCAAGAAATTTTGAAGACTGTGTGTGTGTGTGTGTGTGTGTGTGTGTGTGTGTGTGTGTGTGTGTGTGTGTGTGTGTGTGTGTGTGTGTGTGTGTGTGTGTGTGTGTGTGTGTGTGTGTGTGTGTGTGTGTGTGTGTGTGTGTGTGTGTGCGTGCGGTGTGTGTGTGTGTGTGTGTGTGCATCTCTAGCTTATTTCACCTGAAGTCTAAACCAATCTAATGCTCACTTAACCTAACTTCACCTCCTGGAGATTAATAATTCTAACCTAACCTAACCAAAAACTAACCTAACCTAACCTAACCTAACCTAACCTAACAAAACTAACCTAACCCCATCCCATCAAATAGTGTTAGGGTGATTAAACTTCAGGTGCATTGTTGTGTTGTATGACGCTGATTATAATTGTGATTTATATTTCTGGATATTTCATTGTAATTTTTTTTTTACTTTTTTTCGTATTTTGATTAAAGTTATTTTGGTATTTTTTCATCTCTACATATCGTCATTCTCTTGTTTATCGCCATTCTCTTGTTTATCGTCATTCTCTTGTTTATCGCCATTCTCTTGTTTATCGTCATTCTCTTGTTTTTCGTCATTCTTTTGTTTATCATCTCTACATATCGTCTATCTTTTGTCTTCCATCTCTTGTTTATCGCCATTCTCTTGTTTATCGTCATTCTCTTGTTTATCGTCATTCTCTTGTTTATCATCTCTACATATCGTCATTCTCTACATATCGTCATTCTCTTGCTTATCGCCATTCTCTTGTTTATCGCCATTCTCTTGTTTATCGCCATTCTCTTGTTTATCGTCATTCTCTTGTTTATCGCCATTCTCTTGTTTATCGTCATTCTCTTGTTTATCGCCATTCTCATGTTTATCATCTCTACATATCGTCATTCTCTTGTTTATCGTCATTCTCTTGTTTATCGCCATTCTACTTGTTTATCGTCATTCTCTTGTTTATATTAATTTCTCTTGTTTATCGTCATTCTCTTGTTTTATCGCCATTCTCTTGTTTATCATCATTCTCTTGTTTATCGCCATTCTCTTGTTTATCGTCATTCTTGTTTATCGCCATTCTCATGTTTTATCATCTCTACATATCGTCATTCTCTTGTTTATCGTCATTCTTGTTTATCCGCCATTCTCTTGTTTATCGTCATTCTCTTGTTTATCGTCATTCTCTTGTTTATCGTCATTCTCTTGTTTTATCGTCATTCTCTTGTTTATCATCTCTGCACATCTTCATTCTCTTGTTTTATCGCCATTCTCTTGTTTATCGCCATTCTCTCTTGTTTATCGTCATTCTCTTGTTTTTATCGCCATTCTCTTGTTTATCGCCATTCTCTTGTTTATCGCCATTCTCTTGTTTTATCGTCATTTTCTTGTTTATCGTCATTCTCTTGTTTATCGTCATTCTCTTGTTTATCGTCATTCTCTTGTTTATCGTCATTCTCTTGTTTATCGTCATTCTCTTGTTTAACGCCATTCTCTTGTTTATCGCCATTCTCTTGTTTATCGTCATTCTCTTGTTTATCATCTCTACATATCGTCATTCTCTTGTTTATCGCCATTCTCTTGTTTATCGCCATTCTCTTGTTTATCGCCATTCTCTTGTTTATCGTCATTCTCTTGTTTATCGCCATTCTCTTGTTTATCGTCATTCTCTTGTTTATCGCCATTCTCTTGTTTATCGTCATTCTCTTGTTTATCATCTCTACATATCGCCATTCTCTTGTTTATCGTCATTCTCTTGTTTATCGCCATTCTCTTGTTTATCATCGTGTCTAATGTCGTCTATATATTTCCAGATCCTCCTTTATCACCAATGGCGACCGATGCTCAAGAGAAATCCTTGGAACCTCTCTCCCTCTCCTCCTTCGACCAGAGACTAGTATCCCTCGAGAAACAACTTGAGATAGAGTTGAAGGTAAGACTTGAGGGTGACCATAGCTTGGGTAGGATTGGGCTGGGTTGGGTAACACTTATAAACTATTAGCAACACTTATAAATTATTAGCAACACTTATAAACTATTAGCAACACTTATAAACTATTAGCAACACTTATAAACTATTAGCAACACTTATAAACTATTAGCAACACTTATTATCTATCAGTAACACTTATAAACTATCAGCAACACTTATTATCTATCAGTAACACTTATAAACTATCAGCAACACTTATTATCTATCAGTAACACTTATAAACTATCAGCAACACTTATAAACTATCAACCTTATATAAACTATCAACCTTACTTATAAACTATCAGTAACGCTTTTAAACTATCAGTAACACTTTTAAACTATCAGCAACACTTACATCAACACTTACTTACCCTACGAACACTTTGTTGCCCTTAGCCAACAATATGTGTTGAGACCATTTTAATCTGACCTTGTAACACTTATCAATTGTATCTATAGTATTTAGTTAAGTTATTAACTGATAAGGTTTCGGATAATAAAATGGTGGAGTGTTTTTGTAGGTAATGGAAATGGTATGAGTTTTGTAGTTAGGAAATGGTATGGTAGTGTTTTTGTAGGTATTCTGTACTGTAATGGAAATGGTAGGGGTTTATAGTTAGGAAATGGTATGGTTTTGTAGTTAGGAAATGGTATGGTAGTGTTTTTGTAGGTATTCTGTACTGTAATGGAAATGGTAGGGGTTTATAGTTAGGAAATGGTATGGTTTTGTTGTTAGGAAATGGTATGGTAGTGTTTTTGTAGGTATTCTGTACTGTAATGGAAATGGTAGGGGTTTATAGTTAGGAAATGGTATGGTTTTGTGGGTAATGGAATGGTACTGTTTTTATGATATAGGAAATGGATATGCATGGTATTTGAGGTCATTTTTTTGGCATCATTTTTAATATTAATTACACCTGTATCTCACCTTGCCTGCTTGATGAAGATTTTAACTTATAGGTCAATTCTTTTTTCTTTTCTATTTTAAATTGGTTATTTTTTTTTATTTCAGCCAAATTTGTAAAGAAAATGTTTAAATCAGACTGTAGAAAAAGTAGGAAAATTTTTTTGTAGTGTGTAATGTAGCAAAGATTATGAGATGATAGAATTTGATATACTGTATATTTGTAAGTTTTGAATGTCATGTTATATCAAAAAGTGTTGTGAGGTTTGCTGTTTTTCTCTATTTGCAACTTTGAAATAAACTTAAAACAACTTGTGTATTTCTTGCATACAAGTACAGTCGCTCAATAAAGTATCTATGCAAAAATGTGTTGAGAAAATATGACACGGCAGATGATTGATTTTGACAACTCTACCAAGACAACAGGAGTCACGGTGTTCATTCTGGGACTCATCGATCCTTGAGAACCGATCCATGGCAGTTGAGGGATCGATCTCTCGCTCTTTCTCTACCAATAGTGGTGTGCCACAGGGTTCTGTTCTTTCACCTACTCTCTTCCTTCTTTTTATCAATGATTTACTTCACACTACGACTAATTCTATCCATTCTTACGCTCATGATTCTACTCTTCACTCTTCTTCACATTTTCCCCTTCCTCCTAACTCTCAAACTAGATCTGTTTCTAGAGCTGATATCATTACTTCTATCAATGCGGATCTGTGCAGCATCTCTGAATGGGGAGGTACAAACTTGGTTAAATTCAATAGTAATAAAACTATTTACTAATTACACTTTCCAAATTAGATGATCTCCCACCAATTACATTTCAGGACGCTATCATTCTGCCAAATTCTAAAATAGATATGCTAGGCCTCACCATTTCCTCTATTATGTCATGGAAGCCACACATTGCTAAAGCTGCCTCCCGAAAGTTGTGAATGCTGTACAGCTGCCGTAGCTACTTTACTCCTGAGCAGTTGCTTCAAGTATATAAGGGAATAATTTTTCCTAACTTGGAGTACTGCTCTCATATCTGGGGTGGCTCTTCTTCTGTTAGATAGGGTGGAATCAAAGGCATTTCGTCTTATTAACTCTCCTCCTTTAGTCGACAATCTCTCTTCCCTTTCTCTTCACCACAATGTTGCTTCACTCTCTCTCTTTTACAGGTACTTTAACGGGCAATGTTCGGTGGATTTGGCATCCTGTGTACCGCCGGCAAGGCCGTGGGCTCGTAACACACGTCTTGCCCGCGGTGCCCACCGTTTCTCTGTGGATGTCGGTCACACTATAATAACCCGTTATAGTACATCCTTCTTTCCTCAAACTGTGGAATGCTCTGCCTTCGTCTGTGTTTCCATACTCATACAATCTGTCTCACTTTAAAAAGCTGGTTTTCAGGCATCTTCGTGGTGTAGTCATTTTCTCTTCTATTTTTAATTTCTTTTACTCTTATTTTTTCACCCCCCAGGCCCCGTTGTGGGTCGATGGGTGAGCTAATCCCCGTAAAAAACAAAAGTGGAGATAGTTTTTGAGTGACTGTTAAGTATAATAAACATGTCAGGTAAACAAAGTGATGTAACTTATCTTAAATTTGTGTTTGTTTGTTTGTTTAGTTACAAACAAATATTGTAACAAGGAAAGTGAAGGTTTCTTATGTTTAATTATGTAGGTCACTGTTAAAGGCATAACAATACAGAATATAGTGAAACCTCTATATAATGGACTAAATGGAGATGAAAGTCCATTATATCAAGGGTCCATTAGATGTGAAACCTCCATAGGTACAGTAAGTAAAACAACAATCTATGCAGGTGGGGATCGATATGCTTCATTTACGTGTGACTATTGACAGCCCTCGTCCATGGTCTCATATTGTTTCCCCACAAAGAATACACAGATAGTTGTTTTAGCTACTGTAGATCCTCATTTGTATCAGGTATTTGTAAATGTGATGGTAAATGCTGTAGGTATGACATTAATACATAGTAATGCATGTAAGAGTTCAGAAATGGCTACTGCTTAGTTACCTCTGAGGGGTTGGGCGTCTGCTGTACGGACATTAATCATCTCAGGTTATCATCATCAGTACAGTAGTTAAAAATCCAACTTTATAATTAATTAAAAGTAATAATAATGTGTTTAAGTAAGTAAATAATATATTTTTAATTGTGGAGTTGGGTTAGGTAGAATTTAGCCTACTGGAGACAGCAACTGGAGGATTCACTACGACACAGGAAATCACAACTTCACATATAGGACGCTCGACGATTTTTTTTAGCCGTTTATGAGACAAAAAAATTATCTTATGTTGTAAAGTCCGGTATGTGGAGAGAGAAGTTCATTATATGGAGGTTTTATTGTATATAAGCAGTTAATGTTTACTTTCTTCAATATACATTCAACATATAAACACCAAACAGTAATATAAACAAATCTGGTTAAAATTGTTCTCGATAATCGCATATAACTTGTATAATGGCTTCATATTGAGGCTTAAATATTTTGTTCACTATAATTTCATCATCTATAATGTTCTTACGCTCTTTTGTTCTTGATCGGGTTTTGTTCTTCCTCTGTCTTGTTCACACCCTTACCTAGTTCACACCCTTACCTAGTTCACACCCTTACATTGTTCACACCCTTACCTAGTTCACACCCTTACCTAGTTCACACCCTTACCTAGTTCACACCCTTACCTAGTTCACACCCTTACCTAGTTCACACCCTTACCTAGTTCACACCCTTACCTAGTTCACACCCTTACCTAGTTCACACCCTTACCTAGTTCACACCCTTACCTGGTCACACCCTCCCATTGTTCACACCCTTACCTAGTTCACACCCTTACCTAGTTCACACCCTTACCTAGTTCACACCCTTATCCTGGTTCACACCCTTATCTGTAGTTCACACCCGCCACCTGGGTTCCACGCCTGGTTCACACCCACTGGTTCACTTGCCCGCCTAGTTCACACCGCCTAGTTCACACCGCCCCTGGTTTACCCATACCTAGTTCACACCCTTACCTAGTTCCACACCCTTACCTAGTTCACTCCCTTACCTAGTTCACTCCCTTACCTAGTTCACTCCCTTACCTAGTTCACTCCCTTACCTAGTTCACTCCCTTACCTAGTTCACACCCTTACCTAGTTCACACCCTTACCTAGTTCACACCCTTACCTAGTTCACACCCTTACCTAGTTCACACCCTTACCTAGTTCACACCCTTACCTAGTTCACACCCTTACCTAGTTCACACCCTTACCTAGTTCACACCCTTACCTAGTTCACACCCTTACCTAGTTCACACCCTTACCTAGTTCACACTCTTACCTAGTTCACACCCTTACCTAGTTCACACCCTTACCTAGTTCACACCCTTACCTAGTTCACACCCTTACCTAGTTCACACCCTTACCTAGTTCACACCCTTACCTAGTTCACACCCTTACCTTGTTCACACCCTTACCTAGTTCACACCCTTACATTGTTCACACCCTTACCTAGTTCACACCCTTACCTAGTTCACACCCTTACATTGTTCACACCCTCACAGTACCCAACAATTTCAGGACCCAACGATTCAGGATTTTTGTGTGTGTGTGTGTGTGTATTTCGTCCATTTTGCTCTCGACCAATGGGACCCCTTTCTTTCGCAGGTTAAAGCGGGGGCGGAGAACATGATACAGATGTACAGCACGGGACCAATGAGAGACAAGAAACTACTAGCGGAGGCCCAGCAGATGTTAGCGGACTCTAAAGCGAAGATCGAATACATAAAAATGAGAAGAATGAAAGCCAAGCAAAGCCAAACGGAAAACGGTCTCGACGCCGAAGGGAAGCCCAAAGGTGAGGTGTTTTATTTGTGTGTGTGGAGGTATAGAGGGTGAGAGGCTAATATGGTAGAGGTTAATGTATTGCTCTGATCTTACATCCTAAGGGTCACTGGTTCACACTCGGGCACTCGTAGTTCACCCAGCTGTGATTAGGTACCTGACTTTGCAGTTTGGGATATGAAGAGTGTCGGATTGAGTGCCGGCCACACACTCTCTCCTTCCTTGTGTACTGCATCCATACTGTCCATAATTGCTTGTCATTTGGACCAATGTCACTTTTATTGGAGGGATATTCGTGTTAGTGTGTGTTTGATGGGGGGGGTGGAGTCTCAGTGTGTGTGGGGTGGTCTTTGAGTGTAAAATCGTCCCTGTAGTGAAGGTGTTAGCGGAGATAAACTGAATATATTTAGCGAAAGTAGAAGAAAACAAAAGCAATAAACTTAACGAAAGAGTAATAGACGTTTATCTTTTTTATTATTAAGTTCAGCGAGAGGACGAGCGGTATTGTCGAATATATTATCTGAGTCGTCGTGTTACTAAAGACCCTAAGAGGTTTTATGATAAGGAGAAGAACTGAGAGGCGGGGAGTTGGCAAGGTGACGGCAAGGGTGAATATAGTAAACAGAATCACAATTACAGAAATGAGATGAAGTTGTGTAAATATGAAGATGTGTTGGCGATTATCTGTGGAAGTTAGCTGTAGGGCGGTGGTCATCATCAGTGGTAGTTAGCTGTAGGGGCGGTGGTCATCATCAGTGGTGTGCTGTAGGGACGGTGGTCATCATCAGTGGTAGTTAGGACGTTCATCATCAGTGGTAGATGTGGCTGGTCATCATCAGTGGTAGATAGCTGTAGGGACGTGGTCATCATCAGTGGTAGATAGCTGTGGGACGGTGGTCATCATCAGTGGTGGTGAGGGACCGTGGTATCATCAGTGGTGATAGCTGTAGGGCGGTTCATCGTGGTAGTGCTGTGGGACCGTGGTCATCATCAGTGGTAGATAGCTGTAGGGCGGTGGTCATCATCAGTGGTAGTAGCTGAGGGGTGGTTTGTGTGATAGCTGTGGGCGGTGGTCATCGTCAGTGGTAGATAGCTGCAGGGACGGTGGTCATCATCAGTGGTGAATAGCTGTAGGGCGGTGGTCATCGTCAGTGGTAGATAGCTGCAGGACGGTGGTCATCGTCAGTGGTAGATAGCTGTAGGGACGGTGGTCATCATCAGTGGTAGATAGCTGTAGGGACTGTGGTCATCATCAGTGGTAGATAGCTGTAGGACCGTGGTCATCATCAGTGGTGAATAGCTGTGGATGGTCATCATCAGTGGTAGATAGCTGTAGGGACCGTGGTCATCATCAGTGGTAGATAGCTGTAGGGACGGTGGTCATCATCAGTGGTAGATAGCTGTAGGGAAGGTTTTGTAACTCTGGGGATCCATTTCTTATTTCAATTTTCCATCACAGTCTGTGCCTTCCCTTGTCCCTCCTACCCTCAACTTTACCGACAATTAATATTTCTGTTATCTTTCCTCATCCCTAATTATATGACCAAAGTATTTGATTTTGATTTTTCTGTACATTACAAGTATTTCCCTTGAAGTTTTTGATAACCTTAGTATTTCTTCATTCGTTTTCCTGACAGTGTAGTTTATTCTTAACATTCACCAATAACACCACATTTGAAAGATCTCCAACCTCTGTCTGGTGTCTGCTGAGAGCGTCCAGCTACTGACCCATACATCAGTCCTTGCCATATAAAGCCTTTTAACAGCCTTTTACTCAAATTGAAGTTAAAGTTAATTTTCATTTGGTTATTTAGGTTATTAAATGCTGTTTTTGCTTTAATTAATTTTGTTTTTATATTTTTCCATACATCTGCCATCACAGCTAATGCTACTTCTCGGGATACACAAAATTTTCTATTGTTTTAAGTTCTCTGTTGCCGACCATAATTTATTTTTATTTATTTTCAAATTGGAAATAACCATTACTTTAGTCCTTACAGCATTAACTCTTGACCCATATTCTTCACCTTAAATGACCATTACTTTAGTCTTTACAGCATTAACTCTTGACCCATATTCTTCACCTTAAATGACCATTACTTTAGTCTTTACAGCATTAACTCTTGACCCATATTCTTCACCTTAAATAACCATTACTTTAGTCTTTACAGCATTAACTCTTGACCCATATTCTTCACCTTAAATGACCATTACTTTAGTCTTTACAGCATTAACTCTTGACCCATATTCTTCACCTTAAATGACCATTACTTTAGTCCTTACAGCATTAACTCTTGACCCATATTCTTCACCTTTTTCCACTAATCTGTTAACGAGTTTTTGTAATGCCTCTTCACTATCTGTGGTAAGAGCAGTGTCATCTGTGTAGTGCATATTACTTCACCATTAACTTATCGTCCTTCATTATCACTTATAACTTCTCTCAATAATAATTCTGAATATATATTATACAATGTTGGAGACAGAACACAACCTTGTCTTACTCCCTGTCTAACTGTGAAGTAATTAGTAAGTTCTTTATTTACCAACACTTCAGCCTTCTGTTGCCAGTAAAGATTCTTGCAAATTCTAATATTGTATCTCCTTCATTAATGCATATTTTTTCCTAGATCTGTATAAGTTTATTAGATTTTACCTTACAAATTACTTTTCAAAATCAACAAAGCAGATATACAAATTTCTTTGGACCTCTAAAGCTCTTTCATTCAAAATTCTCAAACTAAATACAGCTTCTGTAGTTCCTCTTCCCTTCCTAAAACCATTTTGATCTTCACATAACTCACTTTCTATTTGAAACTTTATTTTACTTAATATTATGTTTAATAAAGCTTTACAGGCTTGACATGTTAGGCTTATTGTTCTAAAGTGGCTGCACTCTAAGGCTCATGGGTTTTTAGTTAATACCAGTGGTGGGCACAGCTAAACGAAAAGTTAGCTTCGCTAACCGCTAATCCGCTAACTAAAAAGTTAACTTCGCTAATGCTAAACAGCTAAAAAAATTAGAGGAAGCTAACGCTAACCCCTAACTTTTATTATATGAATTTAGCTTCGTTTTTTTTTGGGGGGGGAGGGGGTTCTAAAACCCTTAAAAACAGACCTAGAGAGCTGAAATTTTCATATGTTGTCTTGTAGCTTAGACATATAGCTTTCCAAAAAGGTATAGCTTGCCAAGATCAGATGATGATCAAGGTGTACACAAATAATTAAATGAACAAATGAAATTAAACATTAGTTTACATTCAAGTTTCAACATACACTTTATAATCTTTATTCACTGTACGAAAAGACAGAAAGTATTAAACAAATCCAAAAACTATAGTACTGTATAGCATAGGTAGCAAATAGCATCATGCCAAGATCAGATGATGATCAACTTATCAAGGTGTACACTGTACACAGTTTCACAAATAATTAATTTGCATTCTCAAACAACCTATCGGCCTTATTCATTATTCATATATAAATATGCAATACCAACCACATACACATTATAGCAGTGCATTTTTATATAACTAATTGTTGGTGTTAGTCATGTAAATAAACAGAAAACTCTAAACTTTAATGAAAAGTAAGTTTTTAGAAAATTTTGTTTGGCGCACACCTTGGATGACATCCTGGTTATGAACTTATGCAGTACTTAGCATAACCAAATATATTGACACAAAAAATCCTAATTAAATTAACAACTAAATGAGAAATGAAATTATACATTAGTTTACAATTACATTCTATGATTCTTTCAACATACACTGACAGTCTTTATTTACTGTAAAAAAAAAGTATTAAACTTTAATAATCGAAAAATTCCATTCACTCCGGCTGCAGTGGCTGGGCCTTCATCGCCTCCACGTGATGCTGGTTGCCCTTCATAAACATTAGCCTCTCAAAATTGCCATCTGACAGGGTGGCTCTCTTGGCCCTCAAGTTATCTTTACACGTACTAACACGCAGTCAGCCAAGCGTGCCTGACTGGCCGTTGGAGACACGCGTCGCGGCGTCACACGCTTACAACAGACAGGAACAAACATGTATAAATTTTGTTAGCGGACCTAAAGTTAGCGGAAGCTAATTGGTCCGCTAATGGTTTCTAAAGTTAGCGAAAACGCTTTTCCGCTAACGAGAAAGTTAGCTTCTCTAATTAACAGTTAGCGGAACCGTGCCCACCACTGGTTAACACAAACATTGAATTCAGTCAAACATTTCATCCCATTCCTGTCCATTTGTTTTATATATTCTACTGGAAGCTGATCAGCCCCACAAGCTTTATCAGTTATCATGTTGCTCACAGCTGCCTCAACTTGTTTCCATAATTGGTAGTTTGAACTTTATTTCCTTTTTGTTTCTTCCCTCTACTTTATCCTCACCATTGTATACTTCTTCTATGTTCTCTGTCCATCTCTCTTTTACTTCTTCTACCACAAACAGGATCTTCTTGTCTTTGCTTTTAATTGTCTCCCACCCCATTTATTTCCTATTGGTTCATTTGTTTAATCTTTCTGTTCATTTCCCTATAATTATGCCTTCTGTCATCATCTTCAATCTCCTTGTATTTCCTTTCTAGATCATCTTTCTGGGCCTGTCTACACTCCCTTTGGATTTCTTTGTTAATTTTTTTGTAAGCCTCACTTTGTTTTCTCATATTTCTTTGTCTATCTATTTTCTTTTAAATTTCTTTTGTCATCCACTTACTTTTAGCCTCGTTCCTCTTATGCCCTATAAGTTTTCCCCCAGTCTCTAACATTACTTCTTTGTAATTATTAAATTGTTGTGCTGATCCTTGTTCGTCAAAGTCACCTTCTAGCAATACTAAAAACCTATTTTCAGTTTCAATTTCATATTCTATCCCGGCACCTGTTTTGAGTTTGCCTATATTCAATTTGATTTAGTCCATATTTTTATTTTTTTTATTTTTTTTTATGTTTTAGGACTCACTGAACTCATTACTGGGACGTGGTCTGACCCACTATCTGCCCCTGGATTGGTCTTGGTTCGAGTTATGTATTGAATTTCTGAATCTTTCCTGGATTAAAATGTAATTTATTTGATTCTTGACTACTGCATGTTGGGTGAGACTATGTATAGAGATGCCTACAATAATAATAATAATGGTTGCCCCTTGTGTTCGAGGATGGCCGGCCCAAGGGCCACCTAGGCATGAATTTGTTTAAGATGTAGAAGCTGTCGCCAACACAACAACCACACTCTGAGTTAACGAGCTTAGTGACCCAGTATCAAGGAATAGTTCGAGAAGACCGGACAACTCGCCAACTGCACTGGCTAACCATTACCCCGGAATACAATCCGCAAATCGATTAACATCCAGGTCCCCAATTACTGCTGGGTAGACAGAGGCGCCTAGGGTGTTGTTCAAACCATGTACATTTGCACTTATCATCTTGTTTTCCTTAAAAAGTAATTTAATATTCCTCTTCTCTCATTTTTATTACCCAACACCTGTGGTCCAACTTCTGGTGCTATTTTCCCTGTCCCAATGTTTGCATTAAAATCATCCATTATAATCAGACATTCATTAAATCTTACAGTGTCTTTTAGTTTCTTTAAATCTTCACCAAATTTTTCTAAGACTTCATCCTCACTATCATTTGTTGGTGCATAAACCTGTATTAGTACCAAGGCCAAGGGTTTAGCAATAAACTTGACTCTAACACTACTCAATATCCCTTTATACTTCTGATCAGCTCCTGGTTTACAATAATACCAACACCTTTCATGTTTTTCACCACCTGTATATCTAAAGCAAGAATCTTCACGACTAATGTTATTTAAACCTGTCCATCTTACTCCACTTAATCCCAGAATGTCCCACTGTGATCTTTTTCATTTCCCTACAAACATTTACATATTTACCAGCCCTTACCAGCCCTTACCAGCCCTTACCAGCCCTATGTAGTAAATTACTGTATAATATCCTCACATTCCATTGTGTGTTCGCTGCCCCCCAAATTTTTTTACTCGTCGGAAGATTAATTAGAGGGAATCGACAAAAGTTAGGAATGAACTATGGGGTGTAGAGGTCCCTCGTACCTCACTCGGGTAAAGAACCATCCCACCACATGCGGTAAATTATAATAATTCCAAGTACTGTCGTGACTGTCGTGTGATCGGTGATACTTGAAGCAATGGAGGTTGGGGCAGTTTGTGAGTACAGGTAGGATGTATTGAGAGAGAGAGTAATGTATCTTGTAGAGGTGACAGGAGTAATGTATCTTGTAGAGGTGACAGGAGTAATGTATCTTGTAGGGGTTGATAAAGAATAATGTATCTTGTAGAGGTGACAGGAGTAATGTGTCTTGTAGAGGTGACAGGAGTAATGTATCTTGTAAGGGTTGATAAAGAGTAATGTATCCTGTAGGGGTTGATAAAGAGTAATGTATTTTGTAGAGGTGACAGGAGTAATGTATCTTGTAAGGGTTGATAAAGAGTAATGTATCTTGTAGAATTGACAGGTAATGTATCTTGTAGGTGACGGGGTAATGTATCTTGTAAGGGTTGATAAGAGTAATGTATCTTGTAGGGTTGATAAAATGTGTATCTTGTAGAGGTGACAGGAGTAATGTATCTTATGAGGGTTGATAAAGTAATGTATCTTATGAGGTGACAGGGTAATGTATCTTGTAGGGTTGATAAAGAGTAATGTATCTTGTGAGGTGAGATGTTCCCCACAAGTGGGGGTGAAGGCAGGTTACAGAGCGGCTAAGATGTATTGGTTAGCAGGATTCACATCTGCAACTCTTGCCTCTGTAAGAAATTGCGTCTTTCTCCTCTCTTTACCTCCTCCTCCTCCCACAAGCCAGTTAATATTTGACCATAGGAGTCTTTGCAAGGATTGGTTAATACTGTATGCTGATTATTTTTATTGCCTCTTAACAGTTACTGGAGAATGACACCTGACTGTCTGTATTTGTGCGTGTGTGTGTGTGAGTGCTTGTGTGTGTGAGTGCTTGTGTGTGAGTGCTTGTGTGTGTGTAATAATAATAATAATAAACGGTTTATTAATAGAGTTGCAGCCGGTGGCTGAAAATATACAGACTTACATTTGATTTAGACATAATGATATAATATGCATTGAATACATTTACAGGGCTGTACAGTACATAAATCAGGAGTTGTTTATTATTTTAACAATAGATGGGATGGTGCTTTTCTTATATCTATCGGTGCGGGCTCTTATGGGCTGAATTTTGTTGTAGTGGTGGACTGCGCGAGGTGGGTGGAGGGCTGCAGGTGACAGGAGGTGGCGATGACGAGGGTGGTGCAATAGTTGGCTGCCAAACCTTTCCAGTGCTTGGTGGTGGAGGTCACTCAGGGATGGCATTTCCAGGGTGGAGAGAGCGTTGATGTAGCCGGAGTATTCTGCGCCGAGCATGATTCTGCAGGCCCTTTTCTGTACTTCTCTAGTCGACGTTGTTGGGTGGAGTTGAGAGAAGACGACCAGGCTGGTGACGCATATGTTAGTTTGGGGAGAATAAAGGCGTTGTAGATGGTCCTCAGCTCTGGCGTGGGTGTCCCAAGTGACCTAAGTCGTTGTAGCATGTAGAGACGGTACGAGGCTGCCTTGACTGTGTTATTTACACGGGCCTTCCAGTCCAGTTTGTTGTCTATAGTTACACCCACGAGTTTGGCAGACTGCACCAGCTGGAGAGGATGTGTGTGTGTGTGTAGATTTATCGCAAGAGACAGACTATGATGGTAGTCGGGATTCTGTGCCTTTAATATCCAGAATGACAGACTTTTGTGGCGTAAAGGGGAAGAGATGCGAGCAGTCGAGGCGCTACGATTGGTAGTGACGAATCGACCAATGGCGCGCCAATCAGACAGAAGGAAGACGAATAAACCCTATATTGGGTAGAGAAAGAGTTGGGGCTTCCCTGTTGAAACAAGAATCTGATTTGGACGCCATTGGTTGATTCGTGACAACCAATCGGAGCGCCTCGGGTAGAGATTTTGTTTTGGTAAGCGATGTGGTAAACAAATGATTATGTTAGATTTTAGTGATGGTTTATGGATGATGAGGTGAGTTTTGTGTCGGCCAAAAGGCTCGGTGAATTGGTCGACGTCTCGGCAATGTGTTGAATTACGGTGAGGCGAACGCTGTCGTCCTGGGGTACACACTCGTGGTCTGACCTCCCTCGATTCTGACTGCACGTCTCGCCTCAATGTCGGCTCTGATTGGTTGGAACTCACTGTTTAAATTCCCATTTTCTATTTATTACTTACTAAACTCTGTACTGGATTCTCACTCTCCAGTAACTATCAGCGTTCATTATTGCTTATATTCAAGGGTTTGCACAAATATCTATCACTTGTAACGAGATTTTACCGAACGAAAATAATGTGTTAGTTAGCAAGGAACATTCTTATTGGACGAGAAGCTGAACCTGAGTTTAATTTATATTGCCGTACTGAAATATATATCCCAGTTCAACATCTTAATTCATTATATGTATTATTTAATTTACTCATATACATTTTTATAAGACCTTTGCTATATTTTCAAATTTTCATCTGTCATCGGGTGAGCCAACAACTTCATTTTCATACACTCAAATTTACTCATTAATTGTTAGTTTACTGAGATTTGCTCCTCAGTGATGTATCAATGTTCAGTATATGAGCTTATTTATAATTTACACTTATATTTAACGATTTTAAATGTTTCATTTCGATAATGTTTGGACTGGAAATGGTGGTCATTTTAATCACACGGGCAAGTTGGGGGTGGCTGTGGAGATGATAAATTCTCGGCAGGTATTTATGCGTTATGTGTTTTTATTCCCAGGTGAAGCTAGGAAAGTATGGTATAATTTAACTACTAATGTGTTGTTTTTATTCCCAGGTGAATCTAGAAAGTATGTTATAATTTAACTATTTATGTGTTTTTATTCCCAGGTGAAGCTAGGAAAGTATGGTATAATTTAACTACTAATGTGTTGTTTTTATTCCCAGGTGAATCTAGAAAGTATGTTATAATTTAACTATTTATGTGTTTGTTTGTCATGGCATTAATATGGGGGTTTCTTTCACGCACTCTCCAGGTGAGGCCTCCAACAAATTCAACCTAGAGACCCCGGTGGATGTTCGAATTGAGGAGCTTATCCATCGGCTCCACGTAGAGTGCCGGTGTATGGAGGGAGCCAAGAATGCCGTCAGGATGCTCCAGGCTAATAAAGTCGCAGCCGACAAGAAATACCTCCAAGAAGTGAGTGTTTCCCGACCCGTTCATTCTACCGGATCTTGACTCTCTTGGGTGCTGCTGTTCTCTCTGTCTTTACGAGGAAAACGCCCACACGAGAGTCAGGATTCGATGGACGTTGTTTATCGACCACGTGGAGGAATCGGTGATGTTTTGGTTCGATTGATGGGTCACGGTCTGAAACGGCACCTGAAGGTACATCAATACGTGACCCTAATACTTCTTGGTTATAGTCTAATATAACTTGTCTCTCCTCTGAACCGAATCTCATGTAAGCTTGGTTGGTAATGGAGAATCATGGTACCAATATATCACTGTCTCAAAGAATCATGGTACCAATATGTCACTGTCTCAAAGAATCATGGTACCAATATATCACTGTCTCAAAGATTCATGGTACCAATATATCACTGTCTCAAAGAATCATGGTACCAATATGTCACTGTCTCAAAGAATCATGGTACCAATATGTCACTGTCTCAAAGAATAACCAATATGTCACTGCTTCCTCCATACGTCCGATCGGCTCTGTTCTGTAGGTAATTTTCACCGTTTCTGCTGAATTCTATCGATGGTTGGTGACGTCAGAAGGTGAGTCTGTAGTACAATCAGGAACAGAGCTGATTGGTGTTTGCTGAAACCTTCATCTAATAAACAAACCTCAGTATTGTGGATATTGTCCGTTATATAGGGGTTTCCGCATCAAATGGACCTATTTATAACGGACTATCCTACCCCTATAGTCCGCTATGGGGAGGTTTCAATGCATAGGTTGTGATATATTATAATTTATACGTTGATGTTGTCTGTGTGTGTGTAATCACTGCTCATGGTACACTGATTGATACCGTGAAAGGAATGACATTGGAATTTGTAAACGTGAATTGCCATTTAACCGTTATCTTCGTGCTGTATATATATATATTGAAGTTACGAAGTGTTTGGTTGGATGCCTGTACATGGAAACATCTATCATGGAAAAGTACGATGTTATTTTTATGACCGTGAAAGAAATTATATTGGAATTTGGAAACGTGGAGTGAAATAGCCTCGTGTAGGACTTATGCTGTTTCGGAGTTTTAAATCAACATTGCTGCGATTCTTTGGGTGGATATGTAATCACTCATCAGGTAGAACTAATATTGAGGAATTTATATTGAGGAATGGAGTTGTGAAATGGTATAATTACAGTATTACAACATTTTATATCATCCTTTTTGCTGATTGCTTGGGTGTATGATAATGTCAATCATAGAAGATGTGAGGTTTGGGTACTATGAAGGGTAAACTTAGACAATAACTGTACTTATGAATACAAAAATGAAAACAATTTGTAATGTTTTGTATCTTATGATCTGGGTGTGTTTCTCGGAGTCAAAATTATTAAATGAAAATTGCAACTGGCTCTTGGACATCAATACAGTACATCATCTTTGGGCCTAAGGTGTAATGCCCATCAATATTGACTTGGAAAGGAAGAAAACAAGGGCCTAAGAATGTCGATGTGACGTCTCGGATTCACACATTTACGAATCTGAGAACGAAGGAACGACAGGACTGTTTACCGTGCCTACGCTAACCAAAACATCTATCTTTCGTACAGAAGCGTAAAGTAACATTCATCGCGTACCGAGAAGCTGAATCGAGAGTCGTTTGTAAGCTTCGAAGATTCATTGGAGGTTTGTTTAGTTCAGCTCAGTGTTTGTTGTGGGGAGGTAAATATTTGATGCTGAGATTTATTTAACATTGAGATTTGTTTCAGTTTTTTCCCATGTGACTTTTTTCTGTGATATTTTTATTTTTTTTTAAATATACTTTTTGACCTTTTTTCCCGTGACTTTTGTTTTACTTTTTATATACTTTTTAAACTTTTTTGTCACACTTTCCTGGGACATTTTTCCTCCTCCTTCCACTTAATTTACTTCAACATTTCGATCCATAAAACCATTCACAAGTAGATCCCTTGCAGATTGAGTTAATACCTACACTGACTTTTCTAAAATATAACTACTACAGTATATTGAAGTCTTATAAACAAATCTCTGAAGGACTTAGTCGATACTGAAGAGATAGAGGAAGAAAGTCCATTTTTATCAACGGGTCTGGTTATTAAGCGGGAAAATACACGACCATTTTGACCATCAACGTCTCGGGGATTCTAAAATGGCGCTGACTAATCCCCTCTTTGTTTACGTTGGCTGGTGGTAAGTCGGGTTTGTGGTTACTGTCAATGGTGAGAATTCCTCGTGGTAGTGAATTAAGACGCTTGTCTATGGGGGATTGTGGGTAGTGCAGTGACTTCGGAAACGGTGAAGACAGATTATAGGTGTTGTTGTTATTCTCGTGAGCGGCTTAGTGGCTTTAGTGGGCCATATATTCTGTAGGGATTTATTTAACATGGCTGGAGGGGGGGATGGAGGAGGTGTGTTGGTGCTGTCAAATAAACTAGGGTGTCTAATCTTCAGGTGAATTAAGTGGCAGTGTCAACAAGAGTTCTCAGTATGTTGAGCTGTGTGTTGAGTTGTGTTTACGTCTAGAAGATAAGCCGCGTTATTTAGCATGGTGACAGGGAGGACTCTCTCTCTCTCTCTCTCTCTCCCGTAAAGCAATGTTGCAGAACTAAACATTACAAAATCCATCCTTACTCATATTTTCTCACCACTATTCTGGACAGATGATTCACATGCCCTTAAACTAACCTAACCAAACGCTTGAGTTATGTCCCTCTTAAAGTGGTGTTAAGTGAATGTGTCCTCTTAAGTGGTGTTTTAAGTGAACGTGTCTAGTTAAGGTAGAGAGAGAGAGAGGTTTATTCGGGAAAATCTACTTCCAAGTATACATTAACTCAGAATGTATATAGGAAGCTCAGGTATACAAACAATATACATAGTGGTATGGTGTAATGGTCAGCATGCTCGCCTCACAAACAAGTGGACCCAGGTTCGATCCCGGGCAGGGTGAAGCTATAGGCAAGTTTCTTTATGCCATTTGCCTCTGTCTACCCAGCAGTAATTGGGGACCTGGATGTTAATGGATTTGTGGATCGTGTTCCGGGGTAATGGTTAGCCAGTGCAGTTGGTGAGTTGTCCGGTCTTCTCGGATTATTGTTTGACACTGGGTCATGCAGCTCGTTAACTCAGGGTGTGGTTGTTGTGTTGGGCTTCTACACCTTAAACACTGGGTCATACAGCTCTGTTCTCAGGGTGTGGTTGTTGTGTTGGTGACAGCTTCTACACCTTAAACACTGGGTCATGCAGCTCGTTAACTCAGGTTGTGGTTGTTGTGTTGGTGACAGCTTCTACACCTTAAACTGGGTCATGCAGCTCGTTAACTCAGGGTGTGGTTGTGTTGGCGACAGCTTCTACACTTCTGGGTCATGCAGCGTTAACTCAGGGTGTGGTTGTTGTGTTGGTGACAGCTTCACACCTTAAACACTGGGTCATGGCAGCGTTAACTCAGGTGTGGTTGTTGTGTTGGCGACAGCTTCTACCATAAACACTGGGTCATGCAGCTCGTTAACTCAGGGTGTGGTTGTTGTGTTGGTGACAGCTTCACCTTAAACACTGGGTCATGCAGCTCGTTAACTCAGGGTGTGGTTGTTGTGTTGGTGACAGCTTCTACACCTTAAACACTGGGTCATGCAGCCTCGTTAACTCAGGGTGTGGTTGTTGTGTTGGCGACAGCTTCTACACCTTAAGGTCATGCAGCTCGTTAACTCGGGTGTGGTTGTTGTGTTGGCGACAGCTTCTACCTTAAACACTGGGTCATGCAGCTCCGTTAACTCAGGGTGTGGCTGTTGTGTTAGCGACAGCTTCTACACCTTAAACACTGGGTCATTCAGCTCGTTAACTCAGGGTTGGTAGTTGTGTTGGCGACAGCTTCTACCTTAAACACTGGGTCATGCAGCTTCGTTAACTCAGGGTGTGGTTGTTGTGTTGGCGACAGCTTCCACCAACAAATTCACGCCGTGTGACCCTTGGGCCGCCATCCTCGTTACATGATGGGCAACCATTAATATTATTATACAAACAATATACCTAGACAGTACAGGTATACAAGAACTGGTGAACCAAGAATACGTCACAATTCTTTTATCATGATTCATATTGCTGGAAGGCTGAAGTGTGTCACCATCCGAGAGAGTAGTGAGGGTGAGTCTTCTTTCTCTCGAGGTCACTGTTGTTGCGATATTGTCTTTTTGGAGAGAGAGAGCCTGGCATGACTTGACCTGAGACACGCGACCTGACCTTTGTGACCTTTTAGATAATTGAATGGTATTTGAAGGTGCGACAGACACGAATCCGAACCCGGGTGACGCGAATCCGAACCGGTGACGCGACCAACCCGGTGACGCGAATCCGATCCGGGTGACGATCCGATCGGGTGACGCGATTCCGACGGGTGACGCGAATCGAATCCGGGTGACGCGAATCGAATCCGGTGACGCGAATCCGACCGGGTGACGCGAATCGAACCCGGGTGACGCAAATCCGACGGGTGACGCGGATCCGGACCCGGTGACGCGAATCCGAACGGGTGACGCAAATATGAACCAAGTTTGACGTCATACACAAGAGATTAGTAATGTCTGTGTGTCTGTCTGTCTGTGTGTCTGTGTCTGTCTGTCTGTGTGTCTGATTGTGTTGACATTTAAGTATCTACCTTGAGTGTGGAAATACCCTGTATGTGCGTATGTGTGTTTTGTTGTGTTGATGTGTGATGTTGCGTGTGTGTACGTTGTGTTTTTGTGTGTATTGTGGTGTGTGTGTGTGTGTGTGTGTGTGTGTGTGTGTGTGTAATAATAATAATATATAATAATTAACGGTTTATTGAAAGAGCTTGGCAGCCATAAGGCTGAAAATATACAGTTACATATTTGGGGAATGGGTTACGAATTACAAATAATATACAAGTAACATAAGTGACACAAATAAGACATATAATAACTAGATGGGAAAAGCTCAAACTACAGTTCATTTCAACATAGTGACAGTGTAAGGAGCAGTGTTTACTGGGGTGAATACACTGGTTTATTACAAGTTATTGATAATTTTTACAAT